AATATGCACCAATCAGCTTTAAGATTTTGCCTTCGTTTTAGATGCCAGTAAAACCATACACTAACGTTCCTGGTACGTTCCTGGTATTTGTACATCAGTTTCATGTAACATCACATCAATGTTTTTGACCAATAAAATTTCATAATTTATCACGAAGCTGATGTATGCAAATCATTTCCCGTGAACACCCTTAATTCATGCAAGATAGTACAGTAGTACGTATGTATAAGTTAATCCGGCCATTATATCAATAGAAAAAATCGATAAAGCATAATAAACATTTTATTAATTTTGTGAATCATTTTTGATAAGCAATTAGTAATGTCAAAATTTACTTAAATTCTTTAACGTTCGCCAAATTCCGATTTCCTGTATTTTTTAAAGCGATCTTGTTATGGGATGTTTCATGTCAAAATTAAGTGAAAAAGCTGATTCTATAAAATCACAAAATTCGCAGAAAGAATTTCGATTCATTGGTGATAGAAGATTTCATAATGTAAAAGATGCCGTATATTCTCTACCAAATGATGAAGAAGAATCAGATAGATTACACTTACAACATTTTTTATTAAGATATATCTGGCAAAGTAACTTTTCTGCTCCCATCGAACATATTTTATCTAAAAAAGGATCTAAAATTTTAGATGTTGGGTACGTAATTGTTATCATGGTAGTTGCATAATTATTGTAAAAAAAATTAAAATGAAGTTTGACAAATTTAAATAATAAGTTGTGATAAAATTTCTTAACGGCTACAGATATTATTAAATAGTATACTAGTATAAGAGGTTAAAAACAGACCAGATTTTTATTTATTTTGATCTATAAAAACTACTAGAACTTATTCGTATAAAAAATTATAAATTTATTTATTTCTTCTTAATTTCTAGTATTGACATATAAAGATACTAAATTTTACATAGATTTTTTTTTATAAAAAAACGTACCACCATTATCTTAAAAATTTTACGCTAAAGTTGTACTTATCGTTATTATACGCATTCCATTTCAGGTGTGGCGCAGCGTCATGGTCATTTGATATGGCAACCTCGTGAGTATGATCTTTTATAGAAAGCTGAAATAAATTCCTCGGACTATACTCAGTTTTTATTTACACTTATAAACCTTTATAAATTTTTTTTTTAGATATCCATCGACTAATGTTGTTGGATTAGATATATCACCACATCAACCCACACAAATAAAACCTAGTAATTTCATTTTCGTTAAAGCAAATGTTCTAGAAGGATTGCCATACGAAGATAACACTTTTGATTTTGTATTTCAAAGATATTTGATTTCTGGATACTCAAAAGAGAATTGGCCATATGTAATAAATGAATTGGTTAGAGTTTTAAAACCGGGTGGATATTTAGAGGTATTTTTGATTTTTGATTTTATCATTATTATGATAATAGTCTTCACCGGAAATGAAATTCACCAAAATACTCGATTTCTCAAAATATTTTGGGTAACCGAGACTTATCTTAAAGTTTAATTAATTCAAACTTTATTATAAGATTTTAAAAAAAAATTTAAAGACAAATGTCGATGAATCATACCTCTGGCGAATTCCAAATAAAATAAATTCTTTAAGTAATATGGTTTAATCAATTCTTTTTCAATTCAGTTATGTGAATTTTCTTATCTGTTTGATAATGGACCTGCTCACGAACTTTTATGGTCTACAGGTAGGTAACATAAAGTTAGCTTATAAATTCAATTTTTATTACTTACATTATGTTTCATTCAATTATCATAAAGTTGCAAAAGTATTGGAGGAAAAAGGTGTAGATTGGGACACATGTCAAAAGTTAGAAGGATACGCACAAAATCAAGGTTCTTAACTATTCATTGTCTATTTATATATTATAATTAATTACTGAATTAAAAATTAATTTAATTGTTCTCTAATCAGGTCATTTAGAAAATATTAACAAAGAAGTGAAACAATGTTATCATGGTTTAAAGGCAAATGATATTCAACTTAGTAAAGTGGTAATTACTATAAATACTGCATTGTTTTAGAAATCGTTCTTTAAAAAAAAAGTTATTAACACAAAATAAATAAATAGGCTATCAGTAACGCGACTTCTGTGTATGTTTCCCTTAAACCAGTTTTAACGAAAGCATTAAATATTTCTGATGATGAATTTGATGAGTTAGTTGAAAAATCAAAAGAAGAGCTATTTGAGTTTGATACTTATTACAATATGGTTCGCGTATATGCAAGAAAAATTAATAATACTAATGAATAAAAAAGCTTTAAGTATTTTTAGTAACATTTTAATAATTTTTAAGTTAAAAAAATGTCAAATATAAGTTATTCTATATATTTTATTACCTTTTTTCACTATAAAGCTTATTTTTTAAAAAAATATTATATGCAATATTTGAAAATTACACAAACTTTGTAAGTTAATAGCTTTTGATCCAATTATTTTTATCCAAACCAATTTATTATAATGTAATTTCTTAATTTTTTAAAAATTGGTATATTTTTAAAATATTATATATAATTGCCGATTTTTAAAATTATTATATAATAAAAAAATGTTTTTTTTGGTTAATCTAAATAAAATCAATAGAAAAACAATTTGCGATCTTGCATAAAATTTAGTATATTTATTTGGTATTCTACTATCGTTATTTGTTGATATAAAGAAAATCTAATTTATTTACAATTTGAATTTAAAAAATTTACATTGCTTAAATATATTAGGATTAAAGTTTTTAAAATTGTATAGATCATACTCAATGCATTAAATGCGTCACAAACTAATTCAGATAACCTGGTGATCCATGTAAAAATTCAACAGTACAGCAGTAGCAGCAATGAGTAAATCAGAGAAATTTTCGACTCCTTAGACTAATTTTATCGTTCATTACGTCTGAAAGAGTTCAAATTTCTTGAATATAAGTTCATATAATGCTATAAGTACGTGCAATGCATTTAATTATTTAAGTCATGCAAAGCAGTCTGTACAAATTATGATAATCTGATCCATTGTATCGAATGTTTCTAAAAACAAATCGACAAATCATAATATAATAATTCCGAATTTTATGAATCCTTTTAGGACAAACAATTTTAAATGTCAAATTTACTTAAATTCTATAACTTTTTAAAATGATATTAGATTGTGATGTATTACATAAGTAAAAAAGCCTATTCAATCATATCACAATTCGCAAATGGAATTTCAATACATTGATGGTAGAAAATATTATAATGCACAAGATGTCGTATATAGTCTACCAAACGATAAAGAAGAATCATATAGATTACACTTACAACATTTTTGACAATATATATCCGGAATAGCAACATTTAAGAGACAAATTTAAATTTATTTTGATACGAAAATTATTATTATTCACGATTGAAATTAAAACATTTATTGTGATTCGCCGCATAAGTTATAAGCTGGGTTTCTTAATTTTTGATTTACTTAAACTTATTTTTATGCTCTTGACGTATTGACATAATATAGTTGATCTCTATAGATTCTAAATTATATAAAAATCCATCCTTCAATACTACAATTTTTTACTTCGACTCATCAACCTGTAGATTATTTATTAACTCGCAAATTTAGCACTGCCAGATTCTTTTACATTTGACTAAGCATAGTCTTCATTTCTAGCATTAATCGTCTTTTAACACAGATTTAATAAATTTATCACTGTTTCTATCTATTAATGTAATACCGCATACCTGATAAATTTACCTTAATTTCCATTTTTGAAAGCAGTGCAATTTCATGTATTGGTATGTACTTAAGTACATATGTATGGGTCCATATCATTCCATTTGCCTGGAATTGCAAGTAACGGAATTTTTTACTGAAACTCATGATAGAAATCATGAATCTCAATGCAAATTAACTCAACATTAATCGCATACTGTGTGTCAGAATTTTTGACAGTAACTCGCAATATAAATCATGGATTAAATTTATTATAGGCGACCCTTCCATTTGGCACATGGGTGTGACGAATCATTCTATGTGACCAATAATAAATAAATAATACAATTAATTAGTAAATGCTTATTAGTCACGTAAATTATGCGTCACGCCTCTGTGCCAATGAATGGGCCTATAATTGAATAAATCCGAAATCATGGTAATTCCAATACAAATTAACTTAATCATACTGTGTGTTACAAAGATAGCGAATAAGTTTTGTAACAGAATTTTTTACAATAATTCCAATGCGACCTTAACTATAAACTGTGTATGTTACAGATTTTTTTTACGGCACTGTACCTCGCGATAGAAATCACGATAATTTGAATAAAGCTAAATCAACTTTAACTGCATATTTCATCACCAAAGTAAGTTCTGCAACAAAATTTTTTACAGTTTTTTACAATAGAAATTATAATAATTACATATTGCATTAATGGTATAGCAAGCTCCTATTAGAATTTTTTATAGTATCTAATTATAAAAAACATAATAATTCATGCAACCTTAATCACATACTGTGTGTCGCCGGAATGGCAAGCTCTGTAACAGAATTTTTTTAAAGTGTCTTATTATAAAAATAGCATTATTTCCAATTCAAATTGACTCAAGCTTAACCACACCCACGTGTCACCAGAATAGCGAGTAAGTTATGTAACAGGGTTTTTTATAGTAGCTCACAGTGAAAATTAATTCATTCTTATCCACATACCGTATGTCATCAGAATAAGAAGCTCTATAACAGAATTTTTTATAGTAAAATTGCAATAATTCCAATGCAAACCAACTAAACAACCACATACTGCATGTCATTGAAATGGTAAGTAAGTTCTGTAGCATAATTTTTTACAGTAATACACAATGCAAATTAACACAACCTTAACCACATACTGTGAATAATGAGAATAACAAATTCTGTAACAGATTTTTACAGTAACTCAATAGAAATCACGGGACACTTGAAGAATCTATCGACGATCATATCATTACATCATTTGCTTACTAAACAGATTGACCTAAATTCACCTGTTTTGTCTAGGGAACGTCCCAACTTTATTAGCTATATTAAACAATAATAAAATATATGTAAAATTAGCTACTGAAAATTTTTTATTTTAGAGATGAAAAAAAATTGTCTTAATAAAATTTCGAGTTATTGCCATTTTTTAAAAATCTCAATTTTGCTTCAACTATCTCGTGTACAACACTGGTACAAAGTAACGGGATAAGCCGAACGTATGTAATTTATTGCAACCTCTTATTCAAATTACGTTATAGATATGCAGTTGTATTGACTCAAATTTCCACATATAGTAATTTTATATGTTACTATTTATTAGATATTAACGTATTGAATGAAGTTTGCATTTGCATACTTGTTAGTAGCTATGAATTTAATTAATATTTAAGCAATGTGTACTAAGTAAACAGACTGTTAAAATACGGAGCGTTTATAAGACTTTATTGGTTACAGTGATCGCAGAAATCTGAAAAAAAAACATTATACCATTTTACAACAAAATTTTTTTCTGTATTTTAAGAACGCTAAGCTATTTTTAAATGAATACTAGGTTTGCTTAAGCGCAAAGTCTTATAATACAAGTTTACCGTTACAAAATATCAATTTTATAAAATAATTCGTTTTTAATGATTTTGTGCTTAAATTATGGCAGTTTGCAAAAAGGTGTGACCTCTGCAGATCATGATGTCATGTAAAATCATGAAAAATCAGCCGATTCTAGTAGATTTTTCGATTCTTGGAGAATTTTAAAGATTTCAAATAAAATATAGATGTTATTGATTGAAAATTATGATCAATAGGGAATTAAAATCTCTGAAATTTTTCCGCTATCATCATCACGAAATCACAGGGTCACACCCTTTTGCAAACCGCTATAATACTTACATTTATAGCAGTGCACAAAATTTCCGAGTGATGTATCCTTTTTTTTTGGCAAAGTTTTTTTTTTTAACATGAACTTAGAAACTACAACCGGAAGTCGTATTATAAAGAACGGAATTTGGACTGTTAAAAAAATCAGGCCAGAAATAGTCTTAATTAAACGGAAATCTCCGATGGTTTATATTAAGATTTGTGACTGGTTTATAACATTCATTTAAGACTAAAATTATTAAAAACAATTGGCCATTTATAAAAATATTGGCGTTTGCCACTGTTTAGTGGTCATATTTTAAGAATCACTAATTTATTTTTGATCATTTTGGTTTAACCAAATTTTATAGTTTTTGCTCATATTTTGTAAACAGTTAATTTGGATTAGTTTGATTACGTGGGGCGTTCAAAAGTTTTGAGAATGTTTAATAATTATTTTTCAATGAGTTTTAAATATATAAATCTAAAAATATATGTCGCGGCTGATGCTGAAATTTGGAACTATTTTTACATGAAATTTTTAAAATTTTTTTGGGGGTATTTTTCCGCTTTTTTTTAGGGCTAGGTTAGGGTTTAGGGTTAGATTTGATATTTAAAGAGTATAGCTGGATTTTAGCAGGGCTTATATTTTTAATTTGAGCCCCAAATTTCAGCATCAGCATTAGCAGCGACATTTATTTACAAAAACTAATGTTATAGCATATATATTTTAGATTTACATTCTCAAAACTTTTTGTATGCTTCATGTATACTTGAATTGGGATGATAATTTGTGATTTGTCTATTCTAAGTTTAGTATACACGGCAAATAAATGGTTTGTATCACATAATTGATTATTAATGCTCACTCGATCGATCCACCAACGATCGTGTCTTCAGAGTAAGAGCAGGAGCAGAAGTATAACGTAAAAAATTTAAAGGGCCAAAAAGACTAATCTTATACGTTATTTGAATTTTAAAAGTTTTCTTCTCTGGGTTTGTTGGCCTGTTTTTTTTGATTTTTTTTTTCGTCGAATTTTTTACCGGGCTGATGAATTGGTAATCAATGATATTATACAAAAATCTAGAAGATTTTATCGAAGATAATTGATGATCACCTTTGAACTAAGTTGAAGAAGTGATTGTCAGTGAAATAATACGGGTTCTATTTGTTTTATAATAGAAAAATCATCTTTCTGCACATATTTGTTTTATAATAAAAAAATTATTCCTAATCAAAGCCCTCCTGTGCATTGTGTAAAGATTTTGTTTAAGTACAAAATCATTAAAGCTTGATTCATTTTCACGTTGCAAAAAGGTAATTTCCGGATTTTTAAACATGTTGTGTAAAAATTTTAATACTGATTTGTCAAAGCCGGAAATTTTTTGCATTTATATATACCAATCGTAAATGTTACGCTAAACTCCGGACAAATAAGGCTACACAAAGTTGATTTTTCGTTTTGCCCCAAAATTCCGGTCGGGGTAACTAATAAAATCACAGCATTTACGTAATATCGCTTAAAATTCGACACTGATGTACGTGATGTTACACGAACTGATATTGCGCTTCGACTTATTAGTTTAGGTACATAATTGAATTCATGCAAACTAGTAAATATAAGTTAATCCGTGAATAATTTTGATAAACAACAAAATTTACTTAAATTCTTTAACGTTTGTCAAAATTTTGATTTCCTGTATTTTTATTTTAAATCCTAATTATAGGCAAGAAAATCTTAATATGGGATGTTTCATGTCTAAATTGAGTGAAAAAGCAGAGTCTATCAAATCACGAAATTCGCAGAAAGAATTTCGATTTGTTGGTGGTAGAAGATTTCATAATGTAAAAGATGCCTTATATCCTCTACCAAATGATGAAGAAGAATCGGATAGATTACACTTACAACATTTTTTGATAAGATATATCTGGCAAAGCAACTTTTCTGTTCCCATCGAACATACTTTGTCTAAACCGGGATCTAAAATTCTAGATATTGGGTATGTAATTGTTATCATGGTAGTTGTAAAAATATTAAAATGTAGTTTGATGAATTTAAATGTGTTTTGGTAAAAATTCTCTAATGGCACAGGTTTTATAAAACAGTATAAGAGGTTAAAAGCAGACCAATTTCATTTTAATCCAATATACAAAAATTACTAGAGCTTATTCGCATATAAATTATTAATTTAAAATTTAACTCAAATTTTGCGTGTATATCCTTGGCATATTGACATATAAAGATTCTAAATTATATATATAAAAAAAAACTATCATTATCTTAAAAATTAGCACTAAAGTTATTGTTATCATACGCATTCCATTTTAGGTGTGGCGCAGCTTCATGGTCATTTGATATAGCAACCTCGTGAGTATAATCTTTTATATGCATAAATCTGCCTCGGACTATACTCATTTTTTATTTATACTTGTAAACTTGTATAAATCTTTTTTAGATATCCATCGACTAACGTTGTTGGATTAGATATATCACCATATCAACCCACACAGATAAAACCTAGCAATTTCACCTTCGCTAAAGCAAATGTTCTAGAAGGATTACCATTCGAAGATAACACTTTTGATTTTGTATTTCAAAGATATTTGATTTCTGGATATTCAAAAGAGAATTGGCCATATATAATAAATGAATTGGTTAGAGTTTTAAAACCCGGTGGATATTTGGAGGTATTTCTTATTTATGAGCTTGTCATTATTAAGATAAAATTTTAAATAAGTTCAATTTTGATGTTCATCGGAAATGAAATTCACCAAGTACTCGATTTCTCAAAATATTTGTAAAATCGAGTCTAATATTAAGATTAATTCCAACTTTACGTATTAATCGTTTCTCTGGTGAATTCTAAACATAGTAAATTCTTTAAGTAATATGTTTTAATCAATTCTTTTTCAATTTAGCTATGAGAAATTTCTTGTCTGTTTGATAATGGGCCTGCTCATGAACGTATATGGTTTGCTGGTACAGTACGTAACATAAAATTATCTTATAATTCAATTTTTACTTACATTCATTTATTATAAAGTTGCAAAAGTATTGGAGAAGAAAGGTGTAGATTGGGACACATATCAAAAGTTAGAAGAATATGCACAAAATCAAGGTTTTTAACTATTCATCATCTATTTATATATTATAATTCAACTTAATTGTTCTCTAAATTAGGTCAGTTAGAAAACATTAAAAAAGAAGTAAAACAATGCTATCATGGTTTAAAGTCAAATGATATTGAACTTAGTAAACTGGTAATGCTCTATAAAATACTGCATAGTTTTAAAAAATTTTCTTAAAAAAAGTTTTTAACGCAATATAAAATAAATAGGCTATCAGTAACACGACTTCTGTGTATATTTCTCTTAAGCCATCTTTAACAAAAGCATTAAATATTTCTGATGATGAATTTGATGAGTTGATTAAAACATCAAAAGATGAGTTATTTGAGTTTGATACTTACTACAATATTGTTCGTGTTTATGCGAGAAAAATTTAATAATATTAATGAATAAATAAAGTTTTAGTTGATATTTTAGTAATTATTTTAATGTTAAAGAATAAATATTCTATATATTTGTATAATTTCTTTTTTTACTAGAAAATTTATTTTAAAAAAATAGATTATATGCGATATTTGAAAATTATAGAAACTTTGAAAGTTAATAACTTTTGTTCTAATAATTTGTAGCAAACTAATTATTATAATTTAATATTCCTAATTGGACTGGATTAATCAGTGCCCATTCACTTTGTGCCCCTATTATAAAATCGCTAATATTTCAAAATTTTACTAGGATAGCCCTGTTGTGTAACTAAGCAAAAACGTTTCTCTCACAATTTTACACTACTATGACTCTAAATCCTAACTCTAACCAAACTCTAACCTAACTTTAATCAATCCGGGGCCACTGTCTAGATTTTCTCTTCCTAATTTTTTTAAATATTATATATAATTGCTAAAATAATGGTTGATCTTTAGTATAACTGGGCAATATAGAATTATTATATAAATAAATAACTATTCAACCTAATTTAAGCAAATTCAGGAATAGTTAGAGTTAGGATGAGCTTATTGTATATATTATTAAAGTTAGCTTAGGGCTAGGGTTAGAGTTTTTTTATATTATATAATCTTATAATATTTCTATATTACCCAGCTATACTAAAAAAAATTCTATATTTATATAATTTGACTTTATTTTTTTAAAAAAAAATTTATACTGTATTAGAATTAAAAGTTGTATAAATTATATTAAATTCAATATTTTAAAAATTATTTAGTTCAATAATAAAATTAAAATTTTATATTTTATTGCCTATGTAATGTATAGCACTATATAAGATCTGGTATAACATAAAATCAAAACAATAAATTAATTTATTAGTTTAGAATTAGGTGAGAGTTAAATTAAAGTTAGGATGAAGACTTAAGCAAAGAAGTTCAGACCCAAAATTTTGAGAGAAATTTTTTTGCTAAAATATAAGAGATAGTTTTATAAACAAAATTTTATACTATAGCGAATTTTTGAAAAAAATTGTAATTGCTTTGATTTTATATTACATCTGATCCTGCATTATAATTAGGTGGTAATATATTGCCTGGCAATAAATTATAAAATCTATAAAATTTTTAAATTTTACAATAATATGAATGTATTATATATTATTTCTTTTTTTTTTTGAATAGTAACCCCATTGGCCATGTCAGTATTTGTATTTATTAAAGATTATTGTTTCTGCTACAATAAGAGTACATCAAGCCACATGTATTTCTTAATTTATATTAACTATAATTTCAAATTTTAATTAGTATAAAATTAGTATTAATAAAAAAGTTAATTACAATGTATTTGAAGAATTTGAGTAAAGAAAATGCTATAAAAAATTAGAAAAATTAAAGAAAAAATCTGCTTAATATTTTAATTAGAAAATATATTAAATAGTATCAAGAATTTTATTAGTATTACTAGTTTTTTTGTTGCTTTTATTTTAGAAGTTGTTATTATTGCAAATTTTATTTTTAGAATGCTGTTTGTGCTTTTTAGATTGCTTTACTACTATTATTATTGTTATTTCTATTATTATTACCAATAGAAATAATTATAATAATAAGTATTATTACTACTTTAAATAGTTTATATTCAAATTAACTATCTTTTCTGCTATTGTGAATGCTATTTTTACAATTATTTCTACTAAAAATATTTATAATAAGGATTTTAACATTGTTTTATATATTTGAAACATTTTAAGTTTTCTTGTAAATTTAGTTTTTTTATTTAAAGATATTTAATTTTGTCTAGCTCATCTTGTCATATTTGAGAATGTGGTATAATAGATTGTATCAATTAATTACTGAATTTAGATTAAATTGTTCAATTAATTACTGAATTTAGATTAAATTGTTTGATTTTTTGTAACTTGTATTATCTTTGTGCATAAGATCTGCAGTCAAAATTTCCTTATAATTTCAAAAAAGGAAATTATCACTTGTACATAAAATAGTTTTAGCAAAGCTATAGATAATATAGTAATAAAATATATAAACTATAGTAGCAATTAGATTTAACTAAATTTAGATTGTTATTCAGATATATCAAAAAGAATCTAAATTTAATCTAAATGAACCTTAAAAATTAAGCTTGAAATACTAGCTAATACTTAGTATAATAAGTTTTTTATAATTTAACCTTAAAAATTAAGCTTGAAATACTAGCTAATACTTAGTATAATAAGTTTTTTATAATTTAATTAGTTAATTATTATGAGTGTTTATTATTGTTTCAATCTTATTTATTAAATATTTGTAATGTTTTTAAAAAGATTTTTAGCCAATTTAATTTATAAAATCAAACTTCCTAAAACAGTGAGAAAAATTTTTTTTTTTTTTTTTTTAACATATAAGTAACCCATACTGAAGAATGGCCAGGCTTGTCAGGCTCAAGAATGTCAACACCGAGCCACCCAGACTGTTTAAGTCAGACATTAGGCTGGCTTTCCCAGCGGGATGCCCAACTTTAGTTACTGCACTGATGTTGGCCACAATACTGTCATACGTCGAGCCGTAATGTGGATATTGTATAACCCTAGGCCTTAGCTACCCCATTGCTAGGGTACATGTCCCACTCATATATTCACCCAGACTTCGGTAACTTTACACCATAGCTTGACCCATGCACTTGGGTCAGAGCTAGCCATTAAACCTCTGCAACTAACTAGTACAAGTACTAATCTAGTATATATATTACTATATATCCCGGGTCCCTCCCCCTGTGGTGTTGCAGTTCCCAGATCCATTACCTTCCTAATTAGTTACCTATTACCTGCTTCTTGCTCTTATTAGGTTCACAGCAACTCTGGTACCTGCATTCAGACTGTCTTCTTACTCAGATTCTTTATTGATCTCTCCCTTACTTCCAGCCGGCAACCCAGAAGGGTCGGTCTGCTCAGGCTTTAGGTGCCTGAAGGACACCCTCCCCTTGGTATATACTTCCGAAGTATATGTTCTTTTCCTTCAGTGCGACAGAACCTGGCGATTCAGCTGGTGTGTTCTTCGCCATTAAGACATAGTCATTTGGTTCTCCGATCTCGGGCCCTGGTTCGAATTCAGCCTTCTTGTGATACAATTACAGATTACCACTACTTCCTAACTCGAGACTTCCCAAATAAGTTTTCGGTTATGCCGGTTTCCAGATTTATTGCGCCATTGCTTCTATTACTAGATGGTGTGACTGAAGTTACAGATTAGATCCAACCGATAAGCATAGTCGTTAACTGAAACAAGCCTATTTTTCAAATATCGTCATCTGTGTGATTTGAACTCTAGACCTGCCACTTGGAGAGGGTGATGACTAGACCACTACACTAAGTCACCACACCTCAGTAAGAAAATTAAAAGTTAGATAAATATATAATTTTTTATAGCATTATTTACTTTTAATTAGTTATAATGCTAATTCAAA